AAGGGAATGAGGAGTCAAGCAAATGCTCTGAAATACATTTTCCTAGTTCAGCTTTGTTTTCAACATTCCCAGCTATGGATCTCTTTGGATTTGGAGATTTTTATTTAAGTGTAGGGGGAGGAAACAGACAAGGGATACCAGTAAAGCCTCTCCAACTGGCCCCTTTATTATTTTTACTTTTATTTATTGAATTTATATTCCACCCTTTACCCAGAGGTCTCAGGGCGGTTCACAGAATATAATCGAAGTATAAAACCACAAAATAGATAATCAAAATAAAAACAACCCAATAACCACCACCACCACCACCACGCCAAAAAACCCCACCCTCCACATTTTAAAAGGGCATAGCTTAATAGCTTGGGGCCAGTTTACTTGCGAGAGCACCTTATGTGCCCACTTGACGACTCCAGTCTGCAGAACTGGCACTGTTTTAGATGCTACATAATACTCAGGTACGAAATACCTGAGTTTGGCAGCGCAAACACTTTGGGACTCCCTGCCAATTGACATCAGGGAGGTGTCTTCCCTGTACGGTAGTACCTCTGGATGTGAACAGGATCTAGAAGCAGAACACAACCCGCATCTGCACATTCGCAGGTCACGATTCGCCGCTTCTGCGCATGTGCGTGACATCATTTTGAGCATCTGCGCATGCGCGAACGGCAAAACCCAGAAGTAACCTGTTCCGTTACTTCCGGGTCGCTGTGGAACGCAACCTGAAAAGGCTCAACCTGACGCATCTTTAACCTGAGGTATGACTGTACTCTTTTCCGCACCTGCTGAAAACTTTTTTCTATCCAGATGTCCACAATGTTGGCATGCATCTTTATTTGTTTTTTATGTTATCGTTGATTTCAATTATTTTCTGAACATTTTAAAGAGTTGTGTTTAACTGTTTTTGCTGATAATGTTATTGTTTTCCTCTTTATGCAAAACACCTTGAGGCCTTATTACAATCAAATGGTTTGTAAATCATGTGAAATAAATCTTGTGAACACGGGCAGAAGGGCAGAAGGAGGAGGAGTTTGGATTTGATATCCCGCTTTATCACTACCCGAAGGAGTCTCAAAGCGGCTAACATTCTCCTTTCCCTTCCTCCCCCACAACAAACACTCTGTGAGGTGAGTGGGGCTGAGAGACTTCAGAGAAGTGTGACTAGAAGGGGGGGAGGGAGCTGCTATTGCCGGAACCCTGAGCTTGTGTTTGCTCCTCCCACTGACCAGATGTAAATGGGAGTTGCCAGCACAGAGATCCAAGACTTGGGCATGAGCTCTCGGCCAGCGGCTCAACAGTGAGAAAATAAGTTTCTGTTGGCCCCAAATCGATCTGGTGAAGAGGAGATCCCTTCTCTGAAAACACAAGTTGAAGAATTTGCCAGTTGTACTTTTGAGAAATTCAAAGTGTTGATTTGAATAATTAAGCCTCTGAATCAGAGGTTCCCAAACTTATCTGGCCTACCGCCCCCTTTTCACACAAAAATTACTCAGCGCCCCTCCCCCCGCTGGAAATCTACCAGGAAAACCCCTCACCTCCAACATGGATGTCGGATCCAGGGGAGGTGTCAAAGTCCTGCAATAGCACCCAAGCTGGTGCCAAGTCTTATTACACAACAGATGAAACATAGCTTTTCAAAATTTTCTTTTATTTTCTTCTTTCTCTATGCTTCTATCACCCCCTTTTTTTATTCAATGCCCCCCCAGTTGCACCTGAGGCTACTACCACCCCCCTGGATCATTCCAGCACCCCATAGGGGGTGATATCGCCCATTTTGGGAAGCACTGCTCTTAAACCTTTCTCTCTTTTTTTGTGTATATACAGTCATACTTCGGGTTACAGACGCTTTCAGTTGCCTTTCTTTGGGTTACGGATGTGCCGAAACCCAGACGTACCGGAACAGGTTACTTCCGGGTTTTGGCAGTTGTGCATGCGCAGAAGTGCTAAATCGCACTTTGCACATGTGCAGAAGCACAAGCTGCGCATGTGCAGACGCGGCGCTGCGGGTTGTAAACAATGCAGGTTGCGAACGTGCCTCCCACATGGATCACGTTCGCAACCTGAGCATCCACTGCAATTTTTATTAAGTTTTCTGTTTTACAATTTAAGATACTCATTTACATCCTTAAGATATCAGTGACTTCCCTTCTTCTCTTTCCATGGTTCCTTTTACATATCATAAACCCCTGCATATTTTACAAAAACTATACCAGTCGGTATTCCATTATTGCATCCATCAAAACTTACTTACACTGTTGAATTTATCTTAATGCTGCCAGTGTTTTCAGCTATACACAATTATTTCCCATATATTCAATAAACGTTTTCCAACCTTCTTTAAACACATGTTCTTTTTGTTCTCTTATTCTATATGTTAAGTCTGCGAGTTGTGCATATTCTGTCAACTTAAGTTGCCATTCTTCTTTAGTTGGGACCTCACTTGTTTTCCATTTTTGGGCTAACAAAACACAAGCCGCAGTAGTAGCATACCTTTTTTGACACCTGGGAATTTCATTCGGAGTTATCCCCAACAGAAAGGGCTCTGGTTTTTTTGAGGGAAAGTACTTTTAAACATTTTTTCCAATGCATTATGGATCATTTCCCAATACTCTTTTACCCTTTTGCAAGTCCACTGCTCTTAATGTTCTCAGTCCTGAAAATGTAAGGCAGTGTCTTGTCCAAAATTAACCCTCTTGAGAACTGAGATAGAGTGTTAGCACTTTATCATAGGTTTCTTCACAGGTTGGGGCAAGATTAACACCCATCTCGGAAGCCCACTGTGATGTAACAAGGCTTTTAGTGTGGCTGCCCCTGTTCTGTGGAATAGCATCCCTGTCAAAAAGTTCTTTGGGGGGCTGATTTCATATGGGTCATGTGACTTGCCTGGGAGCACAGCCTGGAAGATGCGTGTCCCAATTTTTGGCCTGGATATGTTTGAGGGTCTTTGTCTTTGTCCATGGAGTTTTCTTCGCAGGGATACTGGAGTGGCTTGCCGGTTCCTCCTCCAGGTGGATCACATTTGGTCAAAACTCTCCACTATGACCTGTTCATCTTGGGTGCCCTGCTCGGCATAGTTCATAGCTTCTCTGAGTTATTCAAGCCCCTTCGCCACGGCAAGGCACTGAGGCTCCAATACTTTGGCCACCTCACGAGAAGAGAAGACTCTTTGGAAAAGACCCTGATGTTGGGAAAGATTGAGGGCACAAGGAGAAGGGGACCACAGAGGACGAGATGGTTGGGCAGTGTTCTCGAAGCTACCAGCATGAGTTTGACCAAACTGCGGGAGGCAGTGGAAGACAGGAGTGCCTGGCGTGTTCTGGTCCATGGGGTCACAAAGAGTCGGACACAACTAAACGACTAAACAACAAAATGTTTGAGGGTAACAGACAGAAACCCAGAACTGGCTTATATAGTCAATAATATCCTGCAGCTTAGCATTGGGCTTTTCTAGAAGCCCATAAATCAGCAAGGAAAGATTTGGTCTTTTAGCCAACTGACCTTGTCAACGGGAACATCAACATCCAGCAAAGAAGAGGGTTTTGAAGGAGGAGCTTGCTGCGTTGTACAATCATTTATATACTTTGCCATCCCCACCGCTTCCCACTGAGTGGGTGCTTAAAAGCTTATTGCAGCCGGCTCACTTCCAGCCCTGTAGTGATCTGTAGAGTAATAAAATGTCTGCCCAAAGCACTTCAGTTAGCTTGGGAATCCTTTTATAGATTAGCCATGAGAAACAGCCAGAGCATCAAAAGCACAACATTAGCTTTTTGATGAGAAACAATTACAGGCCAGCAACAACTCAGAGCTGACAGTGCAGTGGCCCCACTCGATTCAAATGCACTATATATATATATATACATACACACACACACAGCGGATTGCTCCCCTCACAAAATACCCAGAGATCTGCTGCCAGCAAGGCTGCCAAATGCATATTGAACCAGCTTTTTCTGTAATGTGCTTAAAATCACCGTGAATTCCTTCAGAACAGAGAGCTTCACTTGGCAGGGATTCAATGTCAAACTAATTAGACGGTTGTGAGCTTCCCAAAAGATGTCGCCCCCCCCCCCCACTGAGAGCGGGGAGCTCAGCAAGTGAGGTGCCTTCGCTATTAATGCTGTGGAATAAAAAATGCCTCCCCCCTAGAATAGGTCCAGGAGGCTGTTGTCATAGCGGGGTGTGTGTGTGTGTTTCTTCCCATCAAAAGATGATAACACACAGCAGTTGCCAAAGGGAACGCAGTAAAACCAAAATACCCACCACATAAAATGCTGGTTCCAGGTGTTAAATCATAAATTATTTCAGCGGTGTGTTGATCTACATTTTTTACAGGGTGTTCGAAATGGCAGAGACCGTACTGTACACTAATTGTTGGCCCATACCGCTGTGATCTCTTTTCCCTGAGCTGTAAATGTGTGTGAGAGATGCAGCCACTTCCATGATGTTCGCTAGGAGAGAAAGTGAGATACCCTTAAGAGGCTTGTTGTTGTTGCAGCCCAGGGCTGTTTCTTTTGAGTGTGGCAGGTGTGAGGAACCTTTGGCTCTCTGGATGTTGCTGAACTACAACTCCCATCATCCATGGGAGTTGTAGTTCAGCAGCATGTGGAGGGCCAAAGGTCCCCAACACCTGAGATAATAATAATAATTAATAATAATAATTTATTATTTATACCCCGCACATCTGGCTGGGTTTCCCCAGCCACTCTGGGCGGCTTCCAACAAAATATTAAAATACAGTAATGCACCAAATATTAAAAGCTTCCCTAAACAGGCAGCCTTCAGATGTCTTCTAAATGTCAGGTAGCTGTTCTTCTCTTTGATATCTGGTGGGAGGGCGTTCCACAGGGCGGGTGCCACTACCAAGAAGGCCCTCTGCCTGGTTCCCTGTAACTTGGCTTCTCGCAGGGAGGGAACCGCCAGAAGGCCCTCAGTGCTGGACCTCAGTGTCTGGGCAGAACGATGGGGGTGGAGACGCTCCTTCAGGTATATTATTATTATTAAATTTCCAAGTAGCTCTGTTGGTAGAGCATGAGACTCTTAATCTCAGAGATGTGGGTTCGAGCCCCACTTTGGGCAGCTAGACAGGTGACTGGTAGCAGCCACCAGGACCAAATAACACTGGTCCTAAAGGACTGGCTCCCAGTATGTTTCCGAGCACAATTCAAAGTGTTTGTGCTGACCTTTAAAGCCCTAAACCCTAAACGGCCTCAGCCCAGTATACCTGAAGAAGCATCTCTACCCCCATCGTACAGCCCGAACATTGAGGTCCACCTCCGAGGGCCTTCTGGAGGTTCCCTCACTGAGAGAAGTGAGGTTACAGGAAACCAGGCAGAGGGCCTTCTTGGTAGTGGCACCCACCCTGTGAAATGTCATCCCGTCAAATGTCATACAGATAAAAAACTATTTGACTGGCAAAGGTTCCTTGGGCATTGTAGAACCCTTCTTTTAGGCTTCTGAGGCATGTGGGAAGCTTACATGGGGATGGGTCAGTGGTAGGAGCATCTGCTTTGCATGCAGAAGGTTCCAGGTTCATTCCTAGGAGTATCCAAGAAGGATTAGGAGACACCCCTTCCTGAAATTTTGGAAGCTGCTGTCAGTCAGTGAAGACAATACTGAGCAATATGGACCATTGTTTTGACTCAATATAAGGCCACCTCTGGTCCACCACTGGTCCCATCACCTCCTGGCAAATAGAAGGGGAAGAAATGGAGGCAGTGAGAGATTTTACTTTCTTGGGCTCCATGATCACTGCAGATGGTGACAGCAGTCACAAAATTAAAAGACTCCTGCTTCTTGGGACAAAAGCAATGACAAACCTAGACAGCATCTTAAAAAGAAGAGACATCACCTTGCCAACAAATGTCCATATAGTAAAAGCCATGGTTTTCCCAGTAGTGATGTATGGAAGTGAGAGCTGGACCATAAAGAAGGCTGATCGCCGAAGAATTGATGCTTTTGAATTATGGTGCTGGGGGAGACTCTTGAGAGTCCCATGGACTGCAAGAAGATCAAACCTATCCATTCTGCAGGAAATCAGCCCTGAGTGCTCACTGGAAGGACAGATCGTGAAGCTGAGGCTCCAATACTTTGGCCACCTCATGAGAAGAGAAGACTCCCTGGAAAAGACTCTGATGTTGGGAAAGATGGAGGGCACAAGGAGAAGGGGACGACAGAGGACGAGATGGTTGGACAGTGTTCTCAAAGCTACCAGCATGAGTTTGACCAAACTGCTGGAGGCAGTGGAAGACAGGAGTGCCTGGCGTGCTCTGGTCCATGGGGTCACAAAGAGTCGGACACGACTAAACGACTAAACAACAACAAGGCCACTTCATGTCTTCCTGTGTACATGAAAACAGGGGTCTCCCCGCTTCAGATAGTCACCCTCCAGCTCATGAGGGTGATAAGAGCAATAATTGTGGTTGTTTGTGGAGTCAGCAGGTTCATCGCCATTGTGTGAACACACACACACACCTGCCTCACTTGTTCACTCTACAAAGCTGGGGAACGAACCCCTGAAGATGGCTTGTGTTGAAGCTTAAAACCAAATCACCACATTTTAGCTCTTTTGTTCTGACCAAACGCTCACTCTGTAAAAACGACACGGCTTCTACACTCAGCTGACCCTGAAGGAGACTGAGAAATGTGCCTCAGGAGAGTCTCCCGCTGAGCGGCGTTTTAAAATAAGCAAAGGGACGCTTTCAAGTCCTTCCTCCTTTCCGCCCCAACTCACCCTCAACCCCCTGAGTTGAAACAAAGGCAGGAAGACATGGGAGAATGGAGGAGGAAGTGGCGACCGATTGATAAAATGCCCCCCAAGTGAAATGCAGAGGAGCTAAGAAGTGCAGATGTTGGGAGAAGACCTGTTGATCATCCAATCCATTTCCCCAGCAAGGTTTCCTGAGGCAGCCCACATCCTTGGGATGGTCCCCAGATGTCTTTTGTTTTCAAGAGCCATCGTTTATTTGCTAGGGTCTCTTCCTTCTTCCAGGCAGCCGCTGCTCCAGGATTTCCTGAGTCATGACACTGAACACCAGGAGAGAGGATTAAGGATGGGCTGGCAGGAAACTACATTTGTTGAGTGTTGCTGCAGCACCACACCTCATGAAGAGGACAAAATTTTATAGGGGGTGGGGGGTCCTGGGCATGTTTATGCAGGACTAAGGCCAGTGGAGTTCATAGAGTCTTACAGAGCAATCTGGAAGCAGCAGGGGCGAGTGGAACAGCAAGTTGAGACCCACATCTGAAGGTGGAGGGTGGAGGGGCAGTTTTTATGGATGGGGGAGATATTCAACTTTCTTTGCAATTAAAGATGAACCTACCTAATTTGAATTTTCCAAGACAGCACGCGAAGCAAGACTCAGCGAAAGTCACGCTTCTCTGAATTTTGCAACGCAGCTCTCCCAGCCAACAATTGTGTACCCAAATGCAATGCACTAGAATAAATCGTGCATAGAAAGGCAGAGATTGGTGACGATAACAAATAAAACGCATCACATTCGGGGAAGCTGCTTTGCAAAAATGGGTGCATTGGCCAAACGGAGTAGAAAAATGTGTTCATTCCGAGAAATCAGCACTGAACTGCTGGTGAATTTTCATGAGGACTTTGAAAAAAATAATTGCAAAATGATGAGGAAATGTGGACAGCTGGACTTAAGTTTGGAAAAATGAGGAACCGAGGGAAACCCAAATTGACCTATGTGGCCATTCCTAGTGGTTTTAGAGTCATTTTTGGCAGTGCCAGATTTAGGCTGGTACAGTTGATGCCTCTGGATTGGGTCCCTCTCTGTGTAATGGTCTTAAAAGGTAAAGGGACCTCTGACCGTTAGGTCCAGTCATGGCCGACTCTGGGGTTGCAGCGCTCATCTCGCTTTATTGGCCGAGGGAGCCAGCGTACAGCTTCCGGGTCATGTGGCCAGCATGACTAAGCCGCTTCTAGCGAACCAAAGCAGCGCACGGAAACACCGTTTACCTTCCCACCAGAGCAGTACCTATTTATCTACTTGCACTTTGAGGTGCTTTCGAACTGCTAGGTTGGCAGGAGCTGGGACCGAGCAATGGGAGCTCACCCCGTTGTGGGGATTCAAACCGCCGACCTTCTGATCGGCAAGTCCTAGGCTCTGTGGTTTAACCCACAGCGCCACCCACATCCCTGTGTAATGGTCTTAGGATTCAGCAAATTCATGGCCTGTCTTGCTTTGCCCCGAAGACTTCTGCTATGGAGCCCACCCAACAGTGAGCCTGGTGATACCTCTGGCCTATCTCATCCTGTGTTAATGATCAGGGGGTTAAAACTGCAGCCTGACACCCAAGTACCTGCGCATCTTTAACATTTTCTTTATTTCAAACATGAGTACCCCCATCTTTTCAATTTTTCCCCATGTGCAAAGCTGCTTGCATAAGGTCCCATCTGCACTACACCCTCGAAGCAGCATCTAACCACTTTAAACAATCATGGCTCCCCCTGCCCAGAAGGATCCGGGGAACTGTAGTTTGTTAGGGGTGCTGAGAGTTGCTACGGGACCTCCTATTCCCCTCCCACACACAAAGCTACAATTCTCAGGGTGGTTTAACAATCCATCTCTCTTTCCAGGGAACTTTGGGAACTGTAGCCCATGGAGGGCTGAGTGTGGTAAGCACCAGAACACTTACTGACCATTGCAGGAATTGGAAAATTCGGAAGGAGAGGGACTGGAATGGAATATTGCAAAGGAGGACATGGCTGGCTGGTTGAAACTGTGAACAGGAGTACAATATTTGGCTGCAAGTATCATTTGTCAGTCTAATAGAACCACTACTTCCATTAGGCAGGGTGATTGGTTCCATTTGAGAGTCTAATTCAGGGTGCTGGCGCACAGCTTTAAGATCTCTTTAGTGTTTGTTTCAGTCATTGGCAAACCAACCAAGGTCCTCTGTCCCTATTTGACTTTGATCATTACCTGCTCAGAGAGACTGCGCTCTCCCCTAAATTGGAGCTCTCTCGTGTCTATATAGTCAAGTACTTCGTGGTGGAAATAGAAATCATTAAAATTTGCAAGCCGTATCACTCGGATGGCTCCAACGACCTGTGGGACTGCCCCACTTTTCAGGCAATTGAAGCACTAAGGCATAATTTATGTGCTGCAGGAGATATTTCCATATCACAGAGATCACTCCTTTCCCTGTGATGGCTTGTGAAGGGATGCTGCTGGTGTAAGAAGCCACAGAGAGACGTCGATTACATAACAACTTGTTTTGACATGTATAGTGCATCTTATTTATGGTGATAGCCCAAATGTGCAGCTTTAATGCGCCGGAGCATGATTTCCAAGGCTGCTTTCACCAAACCGAAATGGGATCAGAGAGAGCGGATGTTTCACAATGAATCAACGTCCCGAGCCACCACTGACAGTTTGGACAAGCAGCCTCCAACGAAAGGAGTTTAATTTTTATTTTAATTATTATTTATACATGAGAAGGATCTGTGTCCATTAGGAGGAGGCTCAGAACATGAAAGAAGACACTGGAACTGGAGGTGGTGGTGGAGGAGGAGGGGGTTGCAGCAAAAAAGAACAAAGAGTAAACCAAGAGTCAGAGTCGCTCATAGGTGTGTTCTGATACAACTGGGGCCAGTATGTGCAAAATCATGCTCACAAATGCATGCTAAGTATTTTATTTTATTTATTGTTACTTTTATATTCCAAAAAACCCCAAAAGAGAGCATGTGCCGAGATGCCAAAAATATTTTATTTTCAAAGCAGCCCAGCATGTTCCTACCAATAATTAGGAACACAGGAACACAGGAAGCTGACTTATACCAGATCAGACATTGGGCAGTCTAGTTCAGCACTGTCTACACTAAGGTAAAAAAAAAAAAAGGTAAAGGACCCCTGAGCTGCTAACTCCAGTCAAAGGCGACTTTGGGATGTAGCACTCATCTCACTTCAGGCCAAGGAAGCCTGTGTTTGTCCACAGTCACATTTCCGGGTCATGTGACCAGCATGACTAAACCACTTTTGGCACAATGGGACACCGTGACGAAAACCAGAGTGCACAGAAATGCTGTTTACCTTCCCGCCGCAGTGGTACCTATTTATCTA